AAACAAATAATTGTTAAAAAAAATACATTGTAAATAATTACATATACTTCTGGGATCATAGTGTTTCATGTCATTTTTATCGGCAAAATTTTATTAATGTATTACAATTATTTTGGACATATAAAATAAGAAAATAATAATTTTAAAATATTTTGGGCAAGTCACAGTCATCCGATATAAGACTTTCAAATTTTCACTGGGAAGACAGGAAATCTTTTACACAAGCCGTAAAGTTTCTGTGATACTAATAGATGATTTATATACATATTTGATGCATATTTATGTACATATGTAAATATTACATAAATGACAGTATTGATACAATAAAGATCGGTACGATTAATAGCCGCACGTGGTAAGTGCGAGTCGCGCGGTGCGCGCCATAGCGACAAGTCGCATTGTAAGCGGCTCCGTGTAGATCAATCATTTACACACAGCAGAAATCTTTTCAAAGTTCAGAAACAGTTGCATCGGCTTCAGGCCTTCTCCTGGAGGCGATGGATACCACCGGGGTTACGGATAAAGGCTGCTCTTGGAGTCAAATAGCCGATTCGGAAAATACAACCACAAAAGACAAAGAATGTTCGCCGAAGACCGACGTGATCGCAGACATAACCAAAATAACGAAAGGGAAACTAACATCTCCCTCAATGTCGAAATTCACGAAAAGCATAAATAAATTAAATCCAGCTAAGTTAAAAGTGGAACCTAATCTGTCGGCAGCAATGAAGCGAAAATCGAAGATCAATTTGAACGGCAATGTGAAAAAAAAAGAAGTGCTAGATGAAAGTTTAGAGAGTAAGATGAGGCAACTCATCTTAGAAAATCAAAAGCTAAAACTACTGATAGAAGGAACCAAAAGTAAAAATAAAGAATTGAAAGAATCCGACAGTAAATATAAAGAGTCTAGACAATGACAGGTAACGCAAAGCACCGGTCAAGGCACACCGGACATTAGCATAAAAAATAGATAGTCAAATCTCAACAGGGCATAATACATACACAAATAAACAACATAAAAAGACAACCGGAAACCCTCCTTCGTCACAAGAAAAACGGAAGAAGCCTCCGCCCATAAACATTTTCAGTCAGGATCCCAGGGATACCTGGAAGCTAGCAAATGAAATAGCAGGTGCAAACTTTCATATTAAAAGGGTTAATGATAACAAACACATACTACAAATAGACAACATAGACAACTTCAAAAAAGTCAAACAGGCTTTATTGGAGGCTAATACGAACTTTTTCTCATATACACCGAAGAAAGATAAGAACGCCACATTCCTACTCAAAAGGTTAAATCAGACCTTTGAAACACACGAAGTTATGGAAGAATTGAAGCGGCAAGAAATACAGAACATCTCTTTGAATAAAGTGACCAGATTCTCAACACGAAGCTCGGTACAGGAGGGTAGAACTCTACCTATATTCCTGGTGCAGATTACCGCGGACAGCAATGCAGCGCAACTGTGGAAGGTAAAAACACTCTTCCACCACATAATCTCGTGGGAGAAACTTCACAGGAAGGAGGCCATACAATGCAAACGATGCCAAAGAATCGGACACGCGGCGGCCAATTGCAACCTCAAATACAGATGCGTGAAATGCAAAGAGGACCACAAGCCAGGAGAATGTGCAGCGGTACCCAAGGATCACAAAGAAGTATACTGTATAAATTGTAAAACAACAGGTCATCCAGCATCATATAGAGGTTGTCCCGTATTGTTAGAGTTAAAAAACAGGTTAATTAAGAAGCAACTTTTACAGCATCAAAATCAAGTTAATAGTCTCGAACGGGGCAGCGGATCGGTTAGGCCTAATATTGTATATCTTTCGCAGATGCAGTTAGAGTGAGCACGAATAAATATGAAAAACCGGTCATTCAGACAGAGGCACGTGCGAACGACAGAACAAGATCCATGAAGGTTAACACAGACTCGTCGCAAGGCGTATCTCAAATTCAATCCAGGTTAGATAAACTCGAGAACAGCATTGAAATTATTAATAATAGATTAGACACACTCGCGAATCTTATCGTGAAGTTCTTTAGTAAAGACAATTAACCTTCATTGATACGTCTACACAATCAAAATATAAAATTAAAGCCATCGTAGCGAATGTAAAATCAAAAATCAGAAATTATAAAAGAACGCAGTCGCTCGACTTTCAAAAAAACAAAAAAAAAAATAAAAAATGGCATCTCCCTACCTTGACAGACTTGGTTACATTCAAGATAAAAAAATGGTTACATTAATTTATCATATCGCTAGACGTAAGAATCAAAAGATTATTAATTACGCTCCGAATATAAATAGTAGTAATACAGATATATATTTAAAGTATAATCTGTCATCTTTCACATTTATATGTCATCTTACTATAGAAAATAAAATTTCTGTATTTCGTATTTTATATATCTGAAAATAATTGTAGTGGATTAATAACATTTCAGTGAGTAAAACATTTTGACATCAAGCACGGCATAAATCGGATTATTTTTACTGAAATAATTTTAATTACATAATTGTTTTACAATTATCATTCTTCTGTGATCAGAGTGTTTCATTAGTTGTTAGTGTCATTTTCATCGGCAAAATTTTATTAATGTATTACAATTATTTTGGACATATAAAATAAGAAAATAATAATTTTAAAATATTTAGGGCAAGTCACAGCCATCGGATATAAGACTTTCAAATTTTCACAGGGAGGACAGGAAATCTTTTACACAAGCCGAAAAGTTTCTGTGATACTAATAGATGATTTATATACATATTTGATGCATATTTATGTACATATGTAAGTATAACATAAATGACAGTATTGATACAATAAATATCGGTACGATTAATAGCCGCACGTGGTAAGTGCAGGCTTGTTTGTTACCGCATAGATTCGGGTTCGAACCCGAGTAAGGAACACGGCGTTTTTAAGAAAAGCAACCTTCCCTTCCCCTCCCATGTTCAGTCACGATACGTGCCTGTGTCGCCTGCACCATCCGGATACGTGCCTGCGCTGTATGCGCAGGTTATCCTTTTGCAATTTTTTTAGTTTAGAAAGAAAATGTAAAAAAGTTAATTATCAAATAAAATACGTAACTAATTTTGTTAGTAAAAAATGCTAATAAAATGCATATAAATATACATCTTTACTTTCACAAAAAGTTTAACATTTTTGGTTTATATTGATATGTGTAAAAGGAAAATGCAATAATTAATTGACCAATTGAATGTCGAACTTCTCTTATTACCTGTAATATGCTGATATGCTAACGTGTGTGTATGCATATATTTTCATCTAAAGTTAGCAACTTTATATATATGCACATATATATAAAGTGATTACTATAGTGATTAATTAATTATTGTATTTTTGTTTCACACTTGTCCAAATTAATAAAAAGTGAACTTTATATAAAGATGAAAGTATGCATATATATCTTATTAATAATTTATTATTTACAAAATTGGTATTAAAGTTTGGTAATTTATCAATTATGTAATTATTGTATTTGTTCTTTTTATTATTCGAAAAAGAATGATATATATATACACAAATTTTGAAATTGTACTATGTACATATAATTTTCATTATACCGGTTTATTTTTAATTGCTAATAATATCATGTATTACTTTTTCGAATAATAAAAAAACGCCGGCATGCCGCCAACGCCAACAGGGTACATGCCGGCACCCCTGTCATCCGGATATGTGCCTGCAACGCCTGCATCATCCGGATACGTGCCTGCGCCGCCTGTGCCATCCGGATATGTGCCTGTGACATCCGGATACGTGCCTGCGCAGCCTGCACCATTCGGGTACATGCCCGCGACGCCTGCACCATTCGGATACATGCCCGCGACGCCTGCATCGTCCGGATACATGCCTGCGCCGCCTGTGCCATCCGGATATGTGCCTGTGCCATCCGGATATGTGCCTGCGCCACCCGGATATATGCCTTTACCATCTGGATATGTGCCTGCGCCATCCGCGCCATCCGCACCATCCGGATACATGCGTTTTTTTTAAAGTTCCTTTTTGATTAATTTTTTTTAATGATTTTATAATTTAGTTTTATTTTATTATTTTTTATTTTATGGTTTTAT